CCCACCTGCTCGGTGCCAGCTTGGCACCGCTCTGGGGCAGGGGACCCCAGGGCACCCGTGCCAAGCTGGCACCCGGCAGGATGGCAGCGTTGGGCCAGCCCAGACGTGGGCGGGCAGAACATGGCACTTGGCATCCCAGGGGAACGTCATCCTTCCCTTGCCCACCCCAAATCGCTGGCGACCACTCTATGTCCTCCCCGATGCATTCCTGCGCCCGGTGGTGATGGGGGGTAGTGCCAGGGGAGCGGGGGCCGGAAAGGGGGGTCCTTGCTCACCCCCTGGGTACCCACAGGCTGGGGCGGCCGAGCCGGGTGCGTTTCAGTGACCCCGAGGGCAACGTGCTGTTTGAACACCCCGTGCAGAAGAGCGCTGCCCCTGAGGATGGCATGGTGAGAGGGGCCAGGAGGGCAGGGGCTCACAGCATCCCTTCCTCGCCCTGCCTGAGCATGTGGTGCGCCCCCAGCCCCTGCCCAGCCTTGCCTCCATCCATAGCTCTGCGGGATGTGGAGGACGGTGTCCAAGGCCAACGTCCAGTTGCTGCGGGGGGAGCAGCTCCGCGTGTCCCTCATCACCCGGGCGCAGCCCTCTGGAGAGGTCCATGGGCACATCCTCAAGCACCGGGCGCTCTTCGCAGGTAAAACCATCTCCTGCGTGCCCACCCGATGGGTGCTCACCGGGATGCCCCTCACGCCCTCTCTTCCCCTCACAGAGACCTTCGGTGCCATCCTGACCTCGTCGGACCCCACACACCTGGGTGCCGGGGGCATGGCCATGCTGACGCTGAGCGACACTGAGAACAACCTGCACTTCATCCTCATGGCCCGGGGGCTGCTGGAGCCTGGCGCCGGGGGTGAGGGTGGGCATGGGCACCCCACAGAGCCTGGCACTGCCTGGGGGGAGCTGAGTAGGGCTGGGTGGGGGGTGCATGGCATTTATGTGGTTTGGGATGTGTGGGTCAGCATCTGTAGGGTCAGGGTGGGGGCACAGGCTGGGTGTAGGGCTCGGGGTACTTAAAGGGGCTGTGCATGGCGTGGAGAGGCTGAGGTGTGCATGGGGTTGTTGCATGATTTGAGGTGTGCGTGGGTGGGGGGTGCTGTGTACCTATCGGGGGGTGTGGGGCCAGGGGGTGCAGGAGGGCATATGAGGTGTGGATGTTGGTGGGCAGCAGGATGGGTTTGGTATGTGGGTTGTTCAAGGATTTTGGGGGTGTAGGGGAGAATGGTGGGGGTCCTGGTGTTTGCAGGGGTCCAGGTGTGCAGGACAGGACAGGCAGCTGGCAAGAAAGTAGGGGATCAGGTGCAGGGGTTTGGGGGTGATGGGCAAAGAGGGGTGGGATTTTGGGGGCAGAAGGACAGAGGTCACAGACCCAAGTCCAGCAAGTCCAACCCCCTCTGCCATGACCAGAATCCCCCCGGGTCCCGCTGCGGGTCCGCATCCTGCACCAGGGCCAGACTCTGCGGGAGATCCGTGCCAACATCACCGTGGAGGTAAATCCATCTGTTCCCCCATGTGCCCCGGCAGCTGCGGTCCCCGCCATGCCAGGGCTGAGCCATGGCACTGTGCCACCCCCAGCAGGACCCCGACTTTGCAGAGGTGCTGAGCGAGCTGTCTGCCCACGAGCTGCAGTGGCTGGTGCAGGGGCAGCTCCACATCGTGGCCGAGACGGAGGGCCGGCACGCGCGCCAGCTGGCAGGCACCATCACCACCCGCCGTAGCTGTGACAGTGAGCATGGGGTGGGCACCCTGGGGTGCAGGGCGGGGGGGTGGCCGTGCCCCACCAGCTTCAACCCCCCTGTGCCTCTCTCCCTGGGCTGAAGCCATCCAAAGCGTGCTGTGTGGAGCGGACGCCTTGCTGCCCACCAAGACAGGTGCCGTGGGCTCAGCCAAGCTGGCACTTCATGAGAATGGCACCCTGGAGTACCAGGTAAGCAGAGGGCACTCATCTTCCCTCCTGGAGGTCCCAGGAGTGTCTTCTCCCTCCCCAGCACTGCCCCTTGGCACCCTTCCTGCAGGTACAGGTGGTGGGTACTGCCAGTGAAGTGGTGGGCATCACACTGGAGACCAAACCCCGGCGGAAGAGCAAGAGAAACATCCTGTTTGACATGACACCCAGCTACAAGGATGGGCTGGTGAGCACTGGGTGGCAGTGGGGGGGATGGCATGGGGGCCTTGGGTGTCTCCCCATCCCAACCTTCAATGTCTCCCACTGGCGGCAGGCCCAGGGCACCTGGCAGAGCCCCAGCGCCCGTGATGCCCACATGCTGCTGCAGAACGAGCTCTTCCTCAATGTGGCCACCAAGGACTGGGCGGAGGGCGAGCTGCGGGGCCAGGTCATCTCCCTGCCCTACAGCGGGCTGCTCGCCCGCTACACAGGTATCTGCGGGGCACCAGGGGTGGTGGCAGGGGTAGTGGGGCAGGTCCCCCGCCTGCTACCTCCCACGGCCCCTGTCTGTGTGCAGAGATGCCCGTGGCACTGGCGGGGCAGCTGGTGTCCCCCCCAGTGGGCAGCGGTGCCGGGGGGCACGCCTGGCTCTCACTGGATGAGCACTGCCACCTGCACTATGAGATCTCGGTGGCGGGGCTGGGCCGCCCGGCCGACGGCACCGTCAGCGCCCACCTCCATGGGGTGGCTGAGCTGGGTGAGATGGGTGCCCGTCCCCACCAGCACAAGCGTCTGCTCAAGGGCTTCTACAGCACCGAGGTGAGGCGGGGACCCGGCTGGGACACCCCACAGTGGGGCTTGGGCCAGCCCTCATGCCCCCCTCCCTGGTGTCCATCTTGCCCCCACAGGCTCAAGGGGTGGTCAAGGACCTGGATGCCGACCTGCTGCAGCACCTGGCACAGGGCACTGCTTTCTTGCAAGTCAGCACCAAAGCCCACCCCCATGGGGAGATGCGGGGACGGGTAGGTCCCCACCTGGGCAGGGCACCCCTACCCATCCCCACCACTGCCTGGGTGACACTGCCCAGAGCGGGGCAGGAAAGGGGAGAGGATTTGGGGTCACACCGTGGCATGGTCCCAGCAGCTCAGCAGGGTGTGTACTGTGATTGTGGGTGCTTCCTCCACCAGCCCTGACCACGGAGGGCAGCCGGGCACCAACATGGGAAGCGGGGTCCCCCGGCAGTGCCAACCCTCCTGCTCCATGCCCATCCAGGTGCACATCCCCAACCAGTGCCATGCAGGAGGGACCCGCCTGGCCCCAGGTGAGGCCGAGCTCTCCGAGGACATCAAGACCAGGGATCTGGAGCAGCTGAAGAAGGACCCCAACTCCTGCTTCTTTGAGGGGCAGCACCGGGCTCATGGCACCCGCTGGGCACCCGACTATGACAGGAAGTGTTCCATCTGCAGCTGCCAGGTACTGGCTGGAGGGGCAAGGTGGGGGGCAGCACCCATCAGTGGTGCCCCCCTGTAACGAGCCCCATACCTGCTTCCCCCAGAAGCGCACGGTGATCTGTGACCCCATCCTGTGCCAGCCCCTCAACTGTACCCACCAGGTGCACCCCGAGGAGCTGTGCTGCCCTGTCTGTGAAGGTACCTGGGGCCTGGAGGGGGGTCCCAGGCAGGGGGCTGAGGGAACAGGGGCCTTCCCATGAACCCAAGGTGAGAGGGGCCCTCTCTGAGCCCCTTCGCCCCCTCTTGACTTTTATCTTCCTTGCAGAGAAGAAGATGGAGCAGGAGGAGCTCAAGCTGGAGCGGGCACGGGACAGTAGCGAGGGTGAGTTCCAGCAGCCATGGGCTAAGGGAGCAGCTCTGCACCCCAGCCTCCCTGGCACCCCCACACATCCCATGGGGGCTGTGCCCACCTCCTCCTCCTCTCTTAGGCTGCTACTTTGACGGGGACAAGACGTGGCGAGGCTCTGGCACCCGCTGGCACCCTGTCGTGCCACCCTTTGGCCTCATCAAATGTGCCATTTGCACCTGCAAGGTAAGTGGGTACTAGTCCCCCCCCCAGATCCCACCCTGGTTCAGCAGAAGAACTGCCCTGACCCCCAGTGTGGCTGCCCTGAGCTGCTGGGCAGGGGCTCAAACCAGGGGAGATGGGCTGTGTGCCATGTACCGACTGCCCTCTGCCCCCTGTGAGCCCCCTGTGCTCCCTCCAGGGCACCACGGGCGAGGTGCACTGTGAGAAGGTGCAGTGCCCGCGGCTCACCTGTGCCAACCCGGTGCGCGCCAGCCCCTCCGACTGCTGCAAGCAGTGCCCAGGTACCTGCACCCCCTTCCTGCCCTCAGCTCTCCCGGCACACACACCCCTCATGCCAGCGATGCTGCGGGGTGCCCCTGCTGCATGTGTGCCCCCTCCCAGTGCCCTTTCCCACAGTCCCAGAGAAGAGCATCCCTGAGCTGGCCGACACCATGCAGGCGGACGGGCCGCGGGCATGCCGCTTTGGCCGCCGCTGGTACCTCAACAACGAGAGCTGGCACCCCTCCGTACCCCCCTTCGGAGAAATGAAGTGTATCCTGTGCTGGTGTGTGGTGAGTGTGCCAGGCCTTGGGTGGCACCAGGGGAAGGGAAAGATGTCCCCGTGCCCGTCCTCAGTGCTTTGGGAATGGGTGGGAGAGCAGCCCGGGGTGGCATCTCAGGCCTCCACTGCACCCTGAGGAGCCACCAGCCCCCCAACCCCTGTGCTCAGCCCCACTTTCTGCCCCACAGGCGGGGGAAACACACTGCCAGCGCCAGGAGTGCCCGCCGGCCGCCTGCGCCGGCCCCCCCAGGAGGGACAACCCCTGCTGCGCCAAGTGCCGTGGTGAGTGCGCGTGCTCGCACATGGGCACTGCTCCCCCAAACACCCCCCTGTGCCCCGTGCACCTCCTCAGTCCCCTCAGGTGCCGAGACAGGGCCGAGACCAACCCAAGCACCCTCCTGGCACCCCCCATGTCTGTTTCTCAGTCCCACTTTCCCCCTCGCAGCCCCGGATGCCCCCCCAGATGTGCGGGAGAAGGTCCACGATGCCAGGACAGAGGTGTGGAGCCGCTGAGCAGTGACCGCTGCCCAGAGCGGGGCGAGCGCGCAGCGAGGCCGGGTGGCCGTGAGGGGGTCCCTGCCACCCATCACCCCCGCACAGGATGGGGGGCACAGAGGAGCACAGCGGGGTGGATGTGGCCAGGCGCCCAGCCTGGGCACCCCGTCTCAGCACGGCCGCGATGCCAGGGCTGCCCTGCCCGCTCATGCCAGCGGGCAGTGGCCGGGCTGGCAGAGGCTGGGGCACCCCTGCCCTCCCGCTCCCAGCCCCCCTGGCCGGCGGGCACAGTGGGCATCACGCCTGCCTTGTACATAGTGTAAAATCTCTCTGGCCCCTGTCTCGCCTGGGCTCGTCACATAATTTATGGTGCCTGTGGACGGGGGTCACGATGTATTTATTAAAAACAGAGATATTGCCCACCGGCTTCCTGTGCTTTGGCATTTGCAGGCCCTGGCCTTGCTAGGTTTAGGGGATGTGTATGCTGGGGGGGTATTTGGGGAGCATGTGGCCTGGGAGTCAGTGCCAGGCTGGGGGCACCCCCAGTGGGCTGTGGTGTGGTGCTTGCAGGGTGGCACTGTCCCCTTCTGTGGTGAAACGAAGAGCCTCAGCCAGCAGCACCCATCTCAAGCTGAGTGCCTGGGGCTGGGTGTGTCACACAGCAAGAGGGCAGACCAGGGACAGCGCTCCCCCAGTCACCCCAGTACAGCTGCACTGGACTCATGGAGCCCCTGGGAGCCCCAGTACTGCTACCTGCCCTTCCATCCCCGATGTGAGGGACTGGGGCACCTCTGGGGGCATTATCCCAGCACAGCAGAATGGGGTGACTGGGACAGCACTAGAGCTGTACTGGGCTATGCTGGAACAGAGCCAGGGCTCTAAGGAAAGTAACACTGGGCTCTACTCTAAGGAAAGTAACACTGGCTCTACATGCTGAGGCATACTGGTACAAGAACAATACCATAGTGGGACAGCGTTGGCCTGTACTGGGACTGCACCAGAGGCAACATGGGGCTAGACTGAGGTAGCGGTAGGACAAGAGGAGGGTGGCACTGGGGCATACTGGACTGTCTCAGAGCCCTGGGTGCTGAGCTGGGTGTCCTGCTCCGTGTGTGCCCATGGCCATGTGGGTGCCTGTGCCAGCAGGGTGGCAGCACCTGTGGTGGCCTTACAGTGTACTGGTGGCCCACAGCCGGGCATGCTGGTGGCAGCAGGCAGAGCGTGTGTCCTGGCACGGGACTGCCCCTCCGGATGAGCGTCCCAGTTGCTGTGGGGCAGTGCCAGGAGCTGACAAGCAAGGAGGGAGCTCCGTGCCTGGGGACACAATGAGCGGGCAACCCATTTTATCACCTCCCTGCTGCAAACTGGTTCATGTCCGGCGATGAACCCTCTCAGGCTGGCGCAGGGCATATCCCAGCCCCCAGCCCAGCCATCATCACCCACCCTTGGGGGTGCTAACGTCAAACTGGAGGGTGGCACCCAGGCAGCAAGAACTAGCCCAGTCCCGGTCCCACAGCACCAGTCTGGAAGTGTCACAGCTCCGACTTTCCCTGCACCCAGTTCTTGCCACGAAGGTGCCACGCGGTGCCCTGAGGAGGAGGGCAAGCTCGGCCTTGCCAGCTGCCCTGGCTGCCCCTGAGCCCGCGGCAGCGGTGAGACGGAGGTCCCACAGCCAGCCTGCCATGCCGGAGCGCCTTGCCCGAGGATGGCCGGTGCCAAGCTGTGCCCGTGTGCCCCTCTGGAGAGGGCTGAGCCACTGCTGCCCACCGGGTTTGGCAGCGAAACGTGGAGCCCACCTGCCTTCCCCGGGGCTGGCAGTGCCGGGATGCTGAGCAGCACCACGGTAAGGACGAGCTCCCTGCCAGTTTTGGGGTTCCTCTGGTGAGCCCCCACAGTGCTGAGCTGCCCTGCCACCCGTGGGCAGCCACGGGCCCCCCTGTACCCTCAGCGCCAAGACCTCAGAGGCACTCTGCCCCCCAGATCTGGCCTCCAGCCAGACACAGCCATGACCCTGGCTGCCCACGGTGCCCCCGGCACGGTCCTCCCTGCCCCTGCCCTGCTGCCCACATCCCACCGGGGAGGATCCACGGGGAAACCGGCACCAGTGGCGGTGCCAGCCCCCCGTGGGAAGAGGGGGCAATGTCCCGCAGGGAGCTGTACCCGCGGTCAGGCCACGCCAGCTCTTACCCCCCTCCGGGTGCTCCCGGGTGCCATCCTCAGCTGGGAAACCCGGTGGGCAAAGCAAGGTCGCGGATGGAAGGGACCCGGCT